ATGCCTACCCCTCTTTCCAGCACAAGGCATACATAAGCGGGGGGTAAATTTACCCCCCCAGATTTGCAATAACCATACACCGGCTATTTCCTCAAGACACTCTATTCCATATACCTTTTACCCGTGCTTCTCCTACACTACAGACGCCCTAGTGTATGTACAGTCCGTATGATGTCAGAAATGCTTACCCATCTTTCCGACTCAAGGCATACAAAAGCGGAGGGTAAATTTACCCCCCAGACTTGCCGATCACGCATCTTCGTGCCTGCCAACGAGTGCACCCGGGTTGTTCCAATGTACCCTTCCCAGTCAGCGATGTCACATTTACATTCTTTAGCGCAAAGTATGTACATAGCAACCTTCCTCCCAAAACATGTAATCCCTACATGCTTTGCCGACTATGTAACTAGTACATCCGGTGCGATTCGGCTAGCTTTCGACCTCTCCCCCCTGGCCTCAAGTTAGTGCCGGCATGTTTGGAGATATGTGCAGGTACTTGGAGCCGTTTGTTGCCATTCTGATTGTTACTTCCGCAGCATACGTGGATGGGGAGAGCTTGGGAAGTCACGCTGGGGATGGATGAAAGGCATGTGGACCTTCAAGTCCATTTGGGCCTCATGACTAATTCAGGATATCACACAATAGTATAGTTCATCATGCATGTTGTATCATGTTGCAATTATACTGATTGAGCATGTTGCGGTATTATCCCATTAGTGGTGACCCCTCCCCCACAGATTTGTCAGCACTCCGCCATGGTGTGGATTCCATGCGATCATGGGGAAAACCGTGTAGAGAGGATTCTTTTGCAGAATTAGTCACGTGGTGCATGCTGCATAATGCGTTTGGACTGATACACTACTTGTTGAACGTTTGTAGGCGTGAGGGGCCATGACTCAGAGCTCGGCCCCCATGGCATGTGTATATTTACTATTATTTACTTACTTGATGTGTTTCCTTATATACTTATACTTGATGTGTTTACTTGATGTATTTATATACTTACTTGGCTTGGGACGTTTGTTCGCCAGAAGTCCAGGGACTGCAAGTCCAGGGAGTCCCGAGGTCTCGACATGCGTGTGTTCAACGCACGGGCCGATGCAAAACAGCGTTGTGACCGGTCCACTGGCGTTCGACCGGTCCACTGGGGTAGTGCATCACTTGATCTATAGATAGGGTGAGAAAGGAGAAGGCCGTTCCCCGTGAATCAGAGGTGACCTGGGTTGACCAATGAGGGATTTGCTGTGCTTTTGGAACCTGGCATTATAAAGCTGCAACGGGACGTCGGAACGTTTCCGAAACGAACTTTGCTGGGCAAATCATGGCAAACCCATGGGGGGTGCGAAAACGGTGAATTTCAGAATAATTATGAGTAAATGTGTAAAACGTGTTAAGGCCGAACCTGCATGTGATTCCGATGTTTTGGACATGACTGACATGGTCGATGTTCTGGGTGTGACTGTTCCGGTTCGCAGGTGGCGAATGGCATCATGATCGGGTTCCAAACAGATCCTGAATATGCAGATTGGCCAGGACAGATTGATCCGACATATGGAGAGTTCTTTGACTGCGCAGGAGTTTAGAGCACCCAAAATCTACGCTAGGTGAGCAAATATGGTTCTTTAGCGGAATTTTGTCAAGTCTATATATATATAATTCCAGCACTTGTCCCTGGAGATTCCCTTGCAATGTGTTACGGATTTCGTCGGAATTGTGTATTTAAAGTTTAAATACTGGCAGGCATGACACAGTGAAAAAGTTGAGAGTCACCCAAGACAACTCCTGTGGTTGATCGACCAGGACCTGGCTAAACTCAGAGGAAACGGACAACCAGTTGAATGCATCATTATGTAAAGCTTACAAAGGGCAACATGTCCCCTTGTGCATTTGGCATGGTTGCTTCACAATGAACAGGCGGAAGGTTATCCCAGAAAGGTTACAAAAGTTGGAAACAACGTGGGACACATGAAAGAAAGAGAGTTAAAATAATGGGAAAAGTGTTGCCAGCACTGGGAAATATGGAAATGTGTGGTGAACAGTGGGAAAAGTGTGCAGCGCAAAAGTTGGAAAAGAATAGGATTCTTGTGGTAGTACTAGAGTCTTGTTGGGGAATTCAGGGGTACCGGAGAAACCTGTGCAGAGTTTGGTGGGAATGAATGTTGGGCAGGTTGGTGGAGAGAGAAAAAGATGAGGTGTTTGCTTTTCCAATTGGGAAGGGGGGCTCGAAGCACAGTTCTCTCAAACAATGCAGCGTAGACATGCGCTGAGTTTCAAAGGAACAACCATTGTTTCGGTGTCGGTTTCGTGTAGTTTTCCGAGGGCTTGCTTGCTGATTCAAGTTAGCAAACACAACGACACCATGTTTGGTGATTGAGCTGTTGAAGTGTTTAATAGTTTAATTTGAAGCGGCATTCTAGGTATTTCTTTGACCATTGGACTAAACAAGACACATTGTCCCTATGCATATGTACATATATACTATACATTATATACATAATACCTACACACAGACTTAGGTATAGAATTATATAAACTGTAGCTCACGTTCACTGGCTGAGTGACGAGTAGCTTTCAGTTCGACACATGAAACATACCTCGAACTTGAGGAGTTTTCTGCCCAACAGGCTATCCTTCCTTCTCAATCGGACCTCCCCAGCTGGTGAGAGGCAAAAGGCACCATTTCTGTTCGCAATCGGACCATTTTTGGGTGTGTGTTTCAATGCAGCCCCCCTTCGGCGTTCTCCAGAGTCCAAAGCAGAATAGACCAGTAACTCACCCAGGGCACCACATGGGCATCATGCCTCCCTGCCCCTTTGTCATGTGACTGATATATGCTCTAAAGGATCTCCAGATTGCTGCAGGTCAAAGCCCAACACAAAAACAGGATAGCTTGGGAAGCGACTAGGGATTTGGAGACAAAAGGATGCTCATTCTCCCAGTATCCTGCAGGATTTATATACTTTGAGGCTGTCTTCGGCGTGTTCCTGGTTCTCGTGGCTGAGCTGCAAATTCACAACTTCCGAAGCAGCCGGGGTGATGGGCGACAGGTGTTGCACAAATACTCCCCTGCAGATGAACTTGGAACCAACCCTGTTTGTTTAAACAAAACATGGAACCTGAAAACCACTTCGGGTTGTAGAGGAAAAGTGTCGTCGGGTTGTAGTTCCGTCTCTTCAGGTCCATGTGAACCTGCAGGGGCCAGTCCACTTTGTCCCGTTGAGTACATCATGCAGACATGTCCTGTTGACGACTCCGCAGGTGACACTCACGACCAACAAACACATGGACATAACAAGTTGGGTGACCACTCACCCTTGTTTGGCGAAAGGCTAGCGGCGGGCGGCACACTGAGGAGATCCTTTTGCGGATGCGGATTTTGCGATGTCGGAAATATTGGTGTGGTCCTGACAGGCCAGGCATGGGAGTTCCCATAGAAGTAAGATACAAAAGTCGCAAAGTTTGGGGGGCATTGTCGTTGAGATGAACGGCTCCAATTCCAACATTTGGTGCTTGGAAGAATGGCTGGAGTGTGTTTTAAGCCTTCCCTTGAGTCAAGAGAAATGTTTGATATAGCGCAATAATATACAGCACATTCTGCACATGCACAGAGGATGGCGGATTTGGCTGTGCAGACAAGTAAGACCCGCACATTTCCAAGTGAGGCAGCTGGCTGAGTAGGATCGCTTGTTTTTACATTTGAAGTGGCCAGACTCAGACAATTCGATCCTGGTCAGCTATGCCTCGCCCGGTCCACAGAAACCCCAAGAAAACCTCCTTGGATGGAGCCCGGAAGCATTTGGAAGATTTTGGAAGCCTTTCGGGGTGGCGGGGGAGTGGTAGGGCCTTTCTTGAGGATTGGCCGTCCATGAATCAAGGATTGAACTGTCACTTGGCCCGCAGTGCCACATAGCCCCCACATCCCCAGTACATCGCCTAACCTGGCTTCTTCGCTTGGCACTTGCCCGGTGAGCACACTTTATGTTTTTTTTTTCTGCAGTACTCAGTACGCACGCGTTTGTTCTGGCAGATCCAAGTCCTGGGAACCGGATTGTCGGTGATTCCACGTGATTCCAACCACCCACCTTCATCCGACAAGAACACACCTCACCCAGTTGGCCCTTCGATGAGTCGCAGGTATTGGAACTGGTTTGATCTAGTACTCGGGGCCACTGGTGTAGCGGACCTGGCCATCCAGCTCCTAACGCAGGGCGGTCGCTTGGAGATGAATTACCAAGGCGGCCATGCACCAGAAAAGCCCACGTTCCTGTTTTGCTGATGTTCCTGGACACGCCCTGTTTTTTCTTGGGTGACTGCGGTTCAAGTGCCAGTTTCTTTGGCATGCCATAGCCGTAGCATGTCGCAAGTGACAAGTGAGGATCTTGGAGGGTTGTGGCCGGGCGGTCTCGATGACACCCAGCTTGGGCGGCACGCAGAATGACCAACCTCTCCAGATGTTCAACGGTTTGGATCACTGGGCTGGGTCTGTCCCTTCTGACCTGTAGCAGTCAGTAAACAAGCAAATCACTAGTTTTGGACAAGGCCTCTACTAACCACCATCATCCACTGTTATAGGTAATAGGATAGACCCAAGGGCTAGAACCCTAGTTACTTTGTTCAGAGAACATGCTAAAAGCGTCACACATGACATAACCTCAAGCACGCGCGAAGTTGCACACGTTGCACATGCTGTAACGACCTAATTCAATATCTTTCATGCAGGAAGCATGACAGGGGATATTGTTTTGATTGTTATTGTCCCTCCTCCCAGAAATTATCAGTCTCCCTGATTTCCCCCTGAGCCTTTTTTAACATGCCTCCAGAACCGCATTTGTTGTATCCAGTGAGAGCCTTAAAGATCCAATCACGTCTTTGAAAAAAGAATTGCGCTTGAGGTGGTGTTGAGGGCACCTCGTTGTTGCGCTTTTGCCGACTGATTCGCTTGGTCCGCATCGTGAAGGTCTTTCGAATCAAGGCCGGCAATGTTTTCTCGGATCGGTTTCACTGGGTCAAGGCTTGCGAGGGGCCTTGAAGACGGGCAAAGCTGGACCGACCAAACATCATAACATTGACATAACCAACTGGGTCAATCCGGACATCTCCAATTTGGCTTGGATCACAGACTGAAACCTGAGATGGTGGTTTGGCGCCATGACCAATTCGAGCATATTCTAGCCTAATGTCTACCCTAAAATCGTTCAGCAAACATCCCCATTCGGTGTTATTGAATCGAGCAGAACCTAATCCTGAAACTTCAAAATATATAGAGCATCCAGCCAGGCCTAATTGGCAATTTGGGTTTTTCTGAGACATGGCAAATGTATGGAAATGCAACCTGCTGGATGCCATTGGTACTGTATCCCATCTCTCAGAGTGTGCTGCAAGCTGGACGTAGACGAGACTCTTTTCCCGTAATTTTCTTCCTGGGGGTGCTTTTAGTTGACTAAAATGGTCAGCCATGACCTGGAGAGTGTCATTCCTTTGGAGATTTGGCATGAGCAAATGCTGAAGGCCATGAAAGATTTGCGGCTCATGGTGAAGGGCCTGGTCGCAGGGATTCGGAGACCTGGTGGCAGATGGACGCAGTGTTTGGCCAAAATCCTGCACTGAGGGACCCCCTGCTATATATTAAATGATAATGTTGACTCTTGATTAATCAACCCCCACCTCCCCCCCCTCAACAATTGAGACTCCAGAACAATATGCTAGAAAACCAATCAATTGATGAAAATGAAAAGAATCATTACTTAGCTATCTCTGGCAATACTAATTGAAAGGAAATCTGCAATCAAAAACCTTCAAGCACATCAAATCTCAATGGAAATCTGAAAACTTAAATAGAAATCTGTATTCAAAGAC